GAAGGGCTACCAGGATAGCGCAAGGGCAGTACAGAACGCTGCTGAGCAAGCAAGGGCCCTCACAATGGTGTGGGGGCAGATACCCCCTCACAGCAAGGCTGCAACATGGCCCACAGGCAAGTCAACTAGCCCATGAAGACAGAGACAGATCGACCGCCCCCCGCCCAGCCCTGACCACGTGCACCCCACTATCTTGTGACCGCGCCATTCGGCATCCACACGTTAACTGTACCTGTTCCACTCACTGCACTGAATAGACAGTTCAGAGAGAGACAGTCCCCAGGGGAGAAGAGAAGGAGGCCAGAGAGGGCAGCTGGGTACGTACCGGGGAAAGCGGGGTTGGTCTGTCCGAGGGGAGGAAAGGGGGTTTGCTGCATGGCCAACTGGTGGAGCTTGGTCAACTGCTGGGGGTAGGAGGGACGTGAGAGCTGAGAAGGTTATCGTCATCGAGTACAGTCACACCAAATTAAAAAGGCAAAACAGAACTTTGCACAGAGATGGGGCCATGCGGACATGGCAGACGCAGTGCAACGCAAGGACTTGGCCTGGTGAGCCAATGCAGCCAGGGCGTCGACTGCACTCCTCTCCTCGCTCACCAGGCCGGTGTGGAGGGGAGGCTGGCCGAGGCCGGTGGACTGGGGACGCTCCGAGGGGAGGATCTGAGAACAACAGAGCAAGACCAGCTGGGCTTCTAAGAGATTCCGAGTCAAGTTCTTACAATGAGCTCGTGCTGCTGCCTGGGAGATCCACAAAGGCACCTGCTCTGCAAACCTTGCCCTGATCCCAGCCCTGAGCTAGGCCTGGCTCATTCCCTTGTCCCGCGGAGAGGGGCCCACCGGGGAGCTTCCCGCCCTACTGGAACTGAAAGGGTACATGGAGCGCATACATGAGCGATGCAACATGTGGGGCGCCTGCTCAGAAACAGCCTACAAGGGGGGTCTGCTGGTACCCCTACTGCCATCCTGTTCCAGCCCTCTCCCCCACCCCTTCCGGAACCTCATGACTTCTCAAGGTGGAGGCTTTGAAATACATCTTCTCCAGCTATTTTATCTGAGACTCATTTTAAAATAAAAATTAAACATAGCAGAAAGTGCAGGTAAGTGTGGTAAGATAAAGCCAACATTCCCTGCCTGGGCTGTGAACCCTTCCACCCACTGGAAAGTGGGGGGCTGCTTACAGGCTTCCCAAAGCTCTGTGCCTCTAGTAGGCAGTGCCAATGTTAGGATGTGGGAGGTGTCCCGGTCTCAGAGGATAAAGTGTACCCACTTCCCCACTGCCTCCCAGTAGAAACCTCAACCCACACGTGCCCACTGTGGCCATGTGTGCCACCAACACAGGCCCCAGAGTGGCCCTGGACTCACTGTCTGCACAGCCAGTTTGGTGTCTTGACTCCCAGGCCTCATGCCTGTGGCTGGCAAGTAGGTACCCAGACAGCTAAGCTGGTGGCTCTGGGCGAGGGGCTGGCTGCCTGAGCGAGTATCTGACCAGTCTCCATCTCATCCCGCCCTAACCCCATCCTACTACACTCGCAGAATCTAGGTTCCTTGGGCCCCAGGAAACTGGGCCAAGAAGGTTGTGAACTCTTGTGGATGAGTGTGCATGTGGGCCTTCTGAATGCAGGGAACTCTCTCTTAAGACTTTCACCCATAGTTCACATAAATGTCCTTCCAGGACCCTGGCCCTACAGCCTCACCCCTCCCTGAGAGCCTGCAGCCAGGTAGGACATAGGGTGGGCGGGTGTGTAGGTGCGGGGCTGTAGGTAGGGACGGGCTCTGGTGCCATGGCTAGTCAGGTCGGCCTTTTCCTGCTTCTGCAGAGGAGATCCCGGCATGAGGAGATGCTAAACCCCACGGCCAGCATATGGCCTCCTGGCTGCACATTTGAGTTGGAATCTGTGGTGGATGAACCGCCTGCTCATGGGGTGTTTGCTGCTTCAGTAAAGGTTGACAGATCCCACTCCTTCCTGGCCTGGCTCCTGTGACATGGGCCATCTCAGGGTCTGATCCCCTCTCCCCCATTACTCACATGGGGGCATATCTTCAAAGCAGCCCCCTTGTAGCTATTCTTGGCTACTTTGGCACTTGGCCTGGGCCTGTTGGAGGAGGAGGGTATGCTGGCTGCACCCTAGACTCCAGGAAGTCCAGAGGAGCTCAGATCAGAGAACATGTCGACTTGGGGTCAGGTCCAGCTCTGAGAGTCCCCTGAAGAGATATGTTTGTCAAGGCTGTAGCAAGGCTGAAGGGCATGTCACAGAGTGCCCACTGCTGGACCAGGTGGGTGCCAGCTCCTGCATGGACCATGCCTGCATCTGCTTTTGTGACCTATCATTCACAGGCCCATGGGTTCCCTCAGTGGATGTGCACTGGAGCCCCTGATGAGAATGCTAGAGGGGCATGACTAGGGAGCACTGCCATAGGGCATCATCATGCCTGTAGGCAAAACACTCCACCACAGGAGCAGCAGGAGGGGGTGGTGTGCTGGGCATCCCAGCAAAGTCCCTGTTGGCGTGAGGAGAGTGAGCACCCACTCCAAGGTGATAGGGCAAGGGGAGAGGACCACAGGGCCCAACCATCGGTGAGAACTCATCCACAAGACTGAATTGCACAGCGGTCCTGCAAACCACTGAGCCCAATGATAGGCCCAAGGCCTCCCCAAACCTCTGCCATGATAGCACAGTGCAAGGAGGTTTGGAAACAGGCACAGCAAGTCACCTGGGGCTCCTGGTGGGGTGCACTCTAAACCCACCCAGTGGACAAGAGATCATCGATCCAAATGTTTCTTGGACAGGGAGGTGACTGAGAATTCCTAGGAGGGAGAAAGGGCCCCTAACAAAAGTAAAGGGGAGGCCAAGGCTGGTGAGGCTGGGCTCAGGAAACTGGTATTCTGTGCTCTGTCAGCAGGGTATGCACGCAGACCCAGGGAGGGTATCCTGGGACGTGACTCCTGCCCACCTCCAGGGGTCAGGGTGAGCCTGGGAAGTGCGGGTGATGTGACATGCACTGGGCCTGCAGCTGCTCTCTGCCCGGATGCTGGTCACCTGCTCTTACCCCATGAGGACAGGGCCCTCTCTCTGTCCCTGCAACCCCCAGTGCTGCATGGCCATGCAGGAAATGGATGCAGGGAGCAGGACCCCTTGGAAATCTGGAGGTAAGGGAGTGGGGTCGAGTGGCTCCGAGCCTGACTAGCATGTGGTCTGCTCAGCCTCAGTTCTCTAATCTGTAAAACAGAGATCAATGTGAGTGAAGGGCATGTCATGAGGTTCCGTCTGCATGTTAGCTGCATGTTACCTCCCGAGCGTGGAGCTGTGGTCTTATCTACTCCTCCTTCTGCCCACATGGATAGGACTCCTCAGAGTCTGGGCAGGCTCCAGAACCCCCCCACTGACACATCACAGGTTAAAACTAGGGATTGCATGGGACCAGCAGTTGGTGTAATGGCTATGTTGCTGGACTCCTATGTAGCCAACTGTGGTTTGAGTCCCGGACCTGGTGGCTTAAACTCATGCCAAGTGCATGTGCGTGCGTGCCCAAGATCCCGAGAGAATGGAGAAGGGATTACGGCGTGGCCATCCCCCCTGGGGGTGATTTCTCGCTTTCTATCTCTCTGTCTCTCTCTGTCTTTCTGGTGAGCACACGTGCCCTATAGCAAAAAACCTCTCCAAAACAAACAAACAAACAAATAAATAAATAAAAACTAGGAATTGCTTCACTTGTATGTGTGTAGAGACTCCAGTGTTTCCAAGCCCTGCAATTCTGCAACTTTAGCCCCATGTGTCCTGCTTTTATGATGCAATGGCCACATGTGCAGATCAATCTCCCCTCCCCGGCAGTCCTGAGAATGCAGAGGCCTGGCTGGTGCCCAGTAGTGCCCAGGAATGTGTGTCAGTGAGTGAAAGGCAGTGGGGTGGCTGGTATGTCTCATCTGGGCTCTTCCCTCACCCAGTCACAGCTTCCCCTCTGGGGCTCCCGTCTCACCATTTTCTAACAGAGGAGCAGGACTAAATGCCAAGGATTCATTCAGGTTTTGAGATGGTTCTACCATTAAACAACAACAAAACAAAACGGACTTTTGATTTTCACTAGTGCCTTCAAGTCATGAAGGGTGGTACAAGGAGGAGATGGGGAGGGAGAAAGCAGCAGCTGGATGGCAGCAGGGGGAGGTGGTGTGGTGGACATGTCTCTGTGACGACTCTTTCCACTTAACACCATATCAGAACAGGAGTCAGACAAATGATAAAATCACAACTACTCATGAAGACAGAACTCAATGAATTGTCACAAAGTGGATGTACAGCTGCAGCTCTTTTGGGTGAGGGACGGGCCACCATGTTGGTCTCACTCTGTAGTCAGGCTTCCTCTCCTGTAGGAGCTCGTGTGGGTCTTTCCTTACTGGGCCGATCTTTCCTAGTTTACAAGAATGCCACAGACAAATGATAAAATCACAACTACTCATGAAGACAGAACTCAATGAATTGTCACAAAGTGGATGTACAGCTGCAGCTCTTTTGGGTGAGGGACGGGCCACCATGTTGGTCTCACTCTGTAGTCAGGCTTCCTCTCCTGTAGGAGCTCGTGTGGGTCTTTCCTTACTGGGCCGATCTTTCCTGGTTTACAAGAATGCCACGTGCAGGGAACAAGCAGTTAGCATAATGGCTATGTCGCTGGATTCCCACGTACTGGACCGCGGTTCATGTCCCAGACCCGGTGGCTTAGAACTCACGCCGGGCGCATGTGCGTGCATGCCCAAGATCCCGAGAGGAGAATGGAGGAGAAGGGATTGCGGCGTGACCATCCCCCCTGGGGGGTGATTTCTCACTTTCTGTCTCTATGTCTCTCTCTGTCTGTCTGGCGAGCGCAGGCGCCCTGTAGCAAAAACCTCTCAAAAAAACCAAACAAACAAACAAAAAGAATGCCACGTGCATTTCAGAGACTAGCCTTGTTCAGTGCAGGTGCTACACAGGCCATTCCCACTCTCCTGATGGTGTCATTAGAGAAACAGAATTCTGAACTCTCAGTGCTGTCAAATTCATCAATATTGTCCTTTGTATTTTAAGAAATCGTCCCCTGATCTTCTAAAAGTGAAACTTGTTCTCTTCTGGGTTGAAGTTCTTGATCCATAGAAATGGTTTTCGTGTTTTTTTGTTTGTTTGTTTTAGAGATTTTTTGCTTTAGGGCATGTGTACTTGCCAGGGAGACACAAAGAGAGAGACAGAGAGAGAGAAAGTGATAAATCACCCCTCAGGAGGGGATAGTCATGCTACAATCTCTTCATTCTCCTCTCAGGATTTTGTGTGTGCATATACATGCGCCCAGTATGTTTTAAGCCACTGGGTCCGGGACTTTAACTGCGGTTGGCCATGTGGGAGTCCGGCACTTTAACCACGACACCACTGTGGTGGCTGGCC